GTTAATACATGTCTCATAAGCTTACTATCTTTCAGAAAACTAATGCAATTTTATTTTCAATTTCTCTAAATTCACAAAACGTACGTACGTACGTACGTACGTCCTGATGTTTTCTTTAAACTATGAGAAACTACACAATAAATTGAACGCATAAAAGAAACAGATTCAGTTAGATTCTTGGGAATATGGCTGGATACTAAATTCAACTTTAATGACTATTTTGAAAAGATATACAGGCGATTAACTTTTTCACTTTATGCTGTGAAAAAAGATAGAAAATTAGGAATTCTTAATGTTATAAAATTTTTATTTCAATTTAAAGGAGACCAATTACCCCCAACATTTAAAAAGATTTCATATTGTCAAAAAATATAAAAAACGCAAATCTTAGAAACAGAAATGATTTTTGTATTCCTAGAGTAAAATCTATTAAAATTGGACTGCTCCCACCTCACAATTTCCCTAAAATATGGTATGAAAATAAACGACACTTTTCTAAACTTTCAAATATCAATCTTATTTCAAATTTTAAACAGAATTTGATAGAAAATTTTTATCAGCAGAACAAATGTATTAATTGAAAATGTTTGAAAAAGAATCGAAGAAAGCAAAGACGATTTTACAAAGAAAAGTCTAAAAAGATTAAAAAGAGTAAAAGGTATCATCAAACATAAAGAATGTCATAAATCGGCGCGAATTAAAAAGATGCTTAAAATGCATGTTTTGCGTATATATATATAACCTATATCTTTTTTACAACCAATAAAGGCCATTTTAAATTTTTTAAAGATTACAAATAAATATATCATTTTTATTTCTAAAAGTTGTTCATAGTTCATCGTCAAAAAATACTAACAATCCACCACCATTAAATATAATGTAAACAATAAATATGTAACTTTCTGTTTCCTTTCCTTTTCCTTTAATTTCTATTTTTTATATGTTTTTACAATTGGGGGGAAATATTCCCACAACCTCTATTTTTGGAGGTTTCAAATATTTTCTCCTGAAACATTTAATTTTGTATGTTTTTGTTAAATTTTATAAATAAATAATTACAGAAAGTATAAAACAAATCCACAAAATATTGTTTTCTCAATTTACAAAGAGAATTGGATATTCTGGCGTTATGGAACATCAACACGCGAAAAGATATGATCTGAAGTAGGGTTGTTGATCGTTTTTGAAAACGATCGTTTTTTGTTTCGTTTTTCAATCGTTTTCAAAAAAGATCGTTTCGTTTTCGGAAAAAACTATCGTTTTTGAAAACGACCTACTATTTTTGAACTTTTAGAAAACGGATAACGATCGTTTTAAAAACGACCATTTTTAAAAACGAACTTTTTAAAAAACGATCGTTTTTCAAAACGATTGTTAAGCTTCCGAATTTTCGTCGTCGTTTTCCTAACAAAACGATCGTTTTAAAAAAATGAAAACGTTCACAATCCTATCTGGAGGTCAAAATTTCATAAATATTATGAAATTTTAAATGTAATATTTAAATATTTTAAATATGTATTTTCCAATTGAAACGACCAAATGAAAGACATTTGGAGGGTTTTTAGTAAAGAAAGAAATAAGAGGAAGGAGGAAAAATATTATTTTTCCAGAGGTAAGTATTTAAACAGAGGAAAATATTTAAGGGAAAGTGCATGGTTGCTAGAATATGAGCTGAATTATATTATCACATTTATTTTCATAAGCTTTTGGACTAAACGTCAACTCACTGAATCTATTTTAATTCGGACACGAAAAATAAATTGTAGATTCTTCAGTGTGTCCCAGTAAACCTGATACGTTATTAATACATTTAAATGTCGTTTTTAATATTGAAATTGTAGTGCAAAACTTTTGTTAGGAATACTGCTAGCTCAATATCACCATTTAATTTAACTTTTGAAGTTTTCAAAGTAAATTCCCTCATTTTAAACAGGGGCTTGCTCGATTTACAACGGTACCTTTAAAACTTTGTCAGTTGATGAAATATTCTGATTTTTCTATCTTAAAATTGATTATTACCAATTATGGCGTCTCTAAATGAGACTTTCGGATTTTTGCAGCAAAGAAAACGTCAGAATTTAAATGTTTTTCAAATAAAAAACAACATATTTTCCTAATTGTTGTTCAAATAAAGTGTGTATCCTTGTGAATCGAGCCATGTAACTTTGTCAATGAAGGGTAACTTGTAATTACATCGACATTCCCGTCTAAGGATGTGATAAGTAAGGTTTATAAGAATGCCTTGTTGTGGGTTAATAAAACGACTGAGCGCTGAAGTCCCAGCTGTTCAAATCAAAAGTTTTGCCCTCTTAATGGATAAATTAATTATTCATTTAATTAATGAAGGAAACTGCCACAACAGTCCGTCAATTACAAGGGTGTCCAAAAAAACTGGTAAGATGTTTGATCATTTTAAACTTTTTATTGGACACCCTGTAAAAGTAATTTACATAAATACATATATTTGTAATTACACGTGGCTCATTTTCATATTAAACACATCATTTGCATAAATTAATTTTGTTCTTCATATTTTCTTTTCTCCGATACACTTTGTATTCATACCAGACTAGCGTCCCTAGGGCCTCGAAATAAAATACCTGGTTTCTTTTTATATATTTAATAACGAATTCATTGTTAGATAGAAATTTTGAATTATAATAACTTTATAAACCAAGGTAATAACATTTTTTAGTTTAAAGGGATTGTAAGAGTAATTTCAAGTGATCCTACATTAGAGAAGAGATGAATGCCCTATTTACAAGGGTGCCGTTTAAATCTTTGACTGATCATTGATGGTAGAGAACTCTGTATGTTTTTCTCGAAAGAATTTCCATGTTGCAGAGAAAAATTGGAGTGTACGCCTGCATACCGTGTGAACTCAACTAAGCTGACAAAGTTACTAACACTTACAAGCATTTAGCATGTAGATAAATAAGTTAAACGTTTAAAGGGGTACTGTTGAGAATCAGACACGCCACGCCACGCCATGGAAAATCACTTGACATTCATAGGTCTCTCTAAAGTGCCTTTAAGAGCAAATGCTTAAAGATCCTTGTCCATTTTTCGCGGGTTTCGTCGTTTTTTTCGTTTTTTTGGTGCAAAATAGATTTAAGGAATATAATTTTTGTCACAAACTTATGTTAAGTTAGATCAAAAATGCTACACCTAACCCTAAGGTTGCAAAGATATAGGGATTATAAATGTTAAAAGAAATGCAGTTATAATTAAATCTGCGCTTGCTACAGTTTTTTACATTTGCAATAAACATCTTTTGCATACTTTGAAGTAACGCAAGCTTCCATTCTGAACATGAATTTTTGTTTTTACTCATTTACCTTCAAAGAAAATTATCAATTCTAATTTAGAAAAATGGAGTTTTCTTTTAATTCCCGTGCATTGTGTGAAATTTGAAATATTCAAACTTTTGAAACAATTAAACCATTGATGCTTTGTCAAGAAAAAACGAAGATTTAGTTTTTAAATAATAATTTGGGTAAAGTTTATCCCCTTTAAAGTTATTTAGTGTCATCAAAGTAACCTACATCAAGTCGTTTTATACAACAATCAGGTTTATATCAAATCATAAATTAATCATAATAAGAATTATTTATCTAGATTTCAACTATTAGTACTGTTTCAAGAATGTTTCAGTAGTATCTAGAGTTTTACTGTAGTATCCAGAGTTTTACTGTAGTATCTAGAGGTTTACTGCAGTATTTATAGTTTTACTGTAGTTTCTAGAGTTTTACGTAGCATCTAGAGTTTTACTGCAGTATCTAGAGTTTTACTGCAGTATCTAGAGTTTTCTGTAGTATCCAGAGTTTTACTGTAGTATCTAGAGTTTTACTGCAGTATCTAGAGTTTCACTGTAGTATCTAGAGTTTTAATGTAGTATCTAGAGTTTCACTGTAGTATCTAGAGTTTCACTGTAGTATCTAGAGTTTTACTGATGAGTATAGAGTTTTACTGCATTATCTAGAGTTTTACTGCAGTATCTAGAGTTTTACTGCATTATCTAGAGTTTTACTGTAGTATCTAGAGTTTTACTGCAGTATCTAGAGTTTTACTATAGTATCTTGAGTTTTACTGTAGTATCTAGAGTTTAACTGTAGTATCTAGAGTTTCCCTGCAGTATCTAGAGTTTTGCTGTAGTATCTAGAGTTTTACTGATGAGTATAGAGTTTTACTGCATTATCTAGAGTTTTACTGTAGTATCTAGAGCTTTACTGTAAATATCTAGAGTTTTACTGCAGTATCTAGGGTTTTACTGTAGTATCTAGAGTTTAACTGTAGTATCTATAGTCTTACTGCAGTATCTAGAGTTTTACAGTAGTATCTAGAGTTTCACTGTAGTATCTAGAGTTTAACTGATGAGTATAGAGTTTTGCTGCAGTATCTAGAGTTTTACAGTAGTATCTAGAGTTTCACTGTAGTATCTAGAGTTTAACTGATGAGTATAGAGTTTTGCTGCAATATCTTGAGCAGCAATTTACATGGAGCTCAAAGCAGAAAGTAGAGTTCACTGTGCAGTTAATGGAGTCCACTGCATTCAGTAATGGAGTTTACTGGGAAGTTAATGGAATTTACTGTGGAGTTAATTAACTGTGCAGTTAATGGAGTTCACTGTGCAGTAATGGAGTTTACTGTGCAGTTAATGGATTTCACTTTATAGTTAATGGATTTCACTGAGGTAAATGGATTTCACTGTGCAGTTAATGGAGTTCACTGAGGTAAATGTAGTTCATTGTGCAGTTCTCCGGGATTAATATTCAGAGTTTTTCGGAATAAATGTTCATAGTTCTCCAGGATTAATGTTCAGAGTTCTCTGGGATTAATGTTCAGAGTTCTCTTTTCGTTTAGAATTACCATGTTATTAATTAGTTTGATACATTTTAACTCACTTCAAAAAGCTCTTAAACCTAACAAATTTTGTTTCTGAAATTCACCCTTTCAGAAGACTTAGTTTCATTAAAACTTCTCAAGTTCAAGACGAGTTGTCCTCAAGCCTTGAGTATTGAGGTTTCTCTTGGATCAGGTTTAGATGTTTTGTCTTCTCCGCCTGATTAACCGGCATATACACAACTGCAGCTCTTGCCGGAACCTTAAAAAAATGTGATAGCTGCATTTCGATCGTTTTTTTTACAACGAAATTTGTAATAATATAAATTTAGGAAAGAAATTCAATGAATTTTCAAGTTAAAAGCAGTTAAATTAGAAACAAAATATTTCGAACATTTTTTTATCTAATTTAAGATTTTCCTCAAATTGACTCCCAAGAAAAAATATTTTCATAGCAAACTTTAAATTTATTTAATTTCGAAATACAAGAGTCTTTGCCACAAACTCTGATTTTCTAATCAGAATATCTTTCATATATTTCAAACTGTAAACTCTGTTGGATCAAAGTTTAAAATATCAGAGGTTTACACCATCAGATTTGAACCATTTGGATCAATTCTAAAACAGGAATCGTGGACCTTTCCCCCCCTTTGGTTTCAGAAAAGTAAAAAAAGTTTTCCTGACCTGCGACCCACTAGACAGTAGAGGAAGAAGTTAAGTGCTGAGTTCAGGACAAGGAAAAGATGGTTTACATGAGACAAGCAGAGCCAGGCAGGAGGGATTATATAACGACCCTTCTCATAACAGAAGTTAAACACCTCCAGGGACACGTGGTTGTCGATGAAGGTCAACTCTATCGCCTGAACAAAAAGAGACTGTGTACGAAAATTAAAGAAACTACTTGTAAAAGAAAGAGCCGAGAAGAATGAAGTTGAATTTAAAATTAACCTTTAATTCGATGGATTGAAAGGAAAACTATTCTATTAATTTCTTAATTCTGCAATCAATNTTTATTTTTTCTCGTCTTATCATGGCTGGCACACTGTTGGGAGAATTATTGTTGAACAATTTTTTTTCTTTTTTTTTCTGAGAAACGGGACATGAAGCACCCAAGGTTCCTAGGTTTAAATGAAGGTAAAAGAAACATTTGATTTTTTAAGTTTTTGTCACTAAAAACCATGTTTTTATTTATTTTTTATTCTTTCGATTATAGTATCGTTCAAAAGTGATATCCAGGTGTTTTTTTCAAACTTTCTCCAATTTTAGGACTATAAGATTTTACTTTTAAAGAAGAAAACTTCTACAGGATTGTTGAGATATTATCCCCAACCTTTCAAGTTTCAAGTACACAATACTTAACGAGTTCCAGCTTTCAGTGCAAAGTTTCTTTTTACCCAAAAATCTATTATTTATCAAATTGATAACTTATTTTTATTTTCTCGACAAAAAAGGAATTGAGTCTTTGCCACAAGTTCTGATTTTCTAATTCTTATATCGTTGAAACCCAAATGTTGTAGACCTTAGATATTTCAAACTATGTATTCTGTTAGATTAAGTAATCTAAGTAGTCGTAAAGATATAGGGATTTAAAAATTTGAGATTGTCACAAAGATCAGACTCTTCGCAACCTTCTCTCTAAAAATGATTTATACTTTTTATACGTTCTTTTATCAGCAAGAATATCATTTGAAACGTGGATTTGCGGATTTTGTTTTTAAAAGCGCAACGAAATACATAGATTCTGTCAGACTACATCGGTTGAAAAAAAAAAAACGCCCCGGGTCCAATATAAACTGGGTACGAGTAATTCGAAACGATGACACACTAGACCTGTAATTCTTAGACCTGGTCGGAGCATGGAAAGATAGGACTTAGACCTGGTCGGAGCATGGAAAGATAGGACTGATGGTTCTAAGTTTGGTGAGTTGACTTTTCTAGAGAAAGTTTAGTTTCCAGGGAATTACGGGTTCCAAAGCTGGTAATCTCTTTTTGTCTGTTTGTTTTGTTTTTGTCATGAACAACGAACAGACAGGATAAAGACGACTATTTGGGCCATACGCAATTATTTGGTTTGGTAAAATTTTCAAATTATTATTTCGGGGCCCAATTTATGATTGTAAGGACTACAAATGGTTTACAATTATTAATGTCGTCGTTACAAATACTTGAAATTTAACAGTTTGAAAAAACATTCTACTTAAACTTTATAATATGATGCACATTAAACATTTAAGTTTCGTTTAGAATTACCATGTTATTAATTAGTTTGATACATTTTAACTCACTTCAAAAAGCTCTTAAACCTAACAAATTTTGTTTCTGAAATTCATCCTTTCAGAAGACTTAGTTTCATTAAAACTTCTCAAGTTCAAGACTTTCTCCCCTGAACTACAAAAAAGCATTAAATATATAATATTTTAAATATATTAAATATATCATATTTTATTCCATTTTGAGAGAAATATTATCCCGTGTATTTTCCTGTAGTTTGAAAAACTTCTGGGAAATTATTTCTCATAATTGTCCTGGGACATTATGAGAATAAATGTCCCAGAAGATAATTGATGAATCTAGCCTCTTGCTTGCCAGTTCAACTAACACTGTCAAATTCTGGATTTTTCACTAAATTTTGCGGATTTAAGAGTTTTTTTTTCGCGTTTTTTTCTGTTTATAAAGGAATAAAATTATGTAAGCAACTGCCTTGTGTATAATTTGGGAAATTATTTATTTGCCGGAAATTTTTACTTAATTTAGTTTGTTTGAGGATTGAGGATTGAGGGGTATGACTGTATAAATTGGATATTGATGGAGATTATCAGAGATTTACACAACAAGGTCTAACTTCTGGCCATACACTAATTGTTAAAACGTAGTTTTCAAATTTTGATAAAATGTTTTATAATTTGCGCATATACACCTAGAATCATCTAGGATAATGATCTTACAACATAAAAAGTCCTCAGAAGAACATATTTTTTGAGAAGTACTAAACATATTTGAGGTCAATGTGAAGACGACAAAAAATGTAAAGTATTCTAGCCTGAATGAGTAATTTGCGAGATAATTTTAAAACTTTCTTAAGCCTTCAAGTCATGTTGTTTAAAGTTTAATTAACCTCTCAATCAAGCTCAATTAATCTTGCTAACTTGAACTTTTAAAAATATTCATTTCTTAAATATTCTAACCTTAAAGATTATACGGAATAGTAGCATTGAACAGTAAACGGAATACTAACATTGAAGAGTATACGGAATACTAACCTTGAAGAGTATACGGAATGAATGAGAGAATATGAAGAGTAGGACTATAGCGAGCAGAATTAGATTACTTCGTTCTCTTTTCCTCTTCAACTGGTTGAACTGAACTCTGCACATTAAAGAAATTGTTAAGGTTTGTAACAAGGTTTAATAAGTATAATGCTAATATCCCCCCCTCCCTTTCTAAAGACGGATGTTTGATTGAAGTTGTGGATGAAGAGGTGAAAGCAAAATTATCCTTTTTTTTGATATAAGGAAAATAGTTGGATTTTAAAGTCCTGTTTTATTTTAAAATCCTTTAAACCCATTCAGAATGATTGAAAGATTATTTTTATACCCCCCTCCGCTGGAGTACTGTAGTGTATCAGGAGTGTATACCCCCCTGGAGTACTGTAGTGTATCAGGAGTGTATACCCCCCTGGAGTACTGTAGTGTATCAGGAGTGTATACCTAAACGAAGGAGTACCCCCGAAGTTGGTTTCTCTCTCCATATTCTCTCCTGGTCGTCCAGACAACATGGATTGACCTCGTTCCGGATCAGAACTAGGATACAGAGACAAACATTACAGGGGTTCGTACAACTTTATATTGTCACCTTCCATTAATTGTATTTCCTTGAAATGAGCTGAATAAACAGAAAAAAAAAATATCAAAATAAAAAGCTTATAAAATATCATATAGGAGCTAACATATTTATCTAGTGTGTTTATTGGTTGATTTTTTCATATTTTCCCCAATAAACTGATTTCCCAGACTTTAAACGTACATACAGGGTTCACCGCAAAGGATGAGACTGTAAAGACGACTGAAAACTCTTAAAATGTAATGATCCCAAGGTAAATTAATTATTCTGTATTATATATGGTAATCTAATTGCTTATTTAATGATTTAGCAAAGAAACAAAAAAGTTTATACTTGCAAGGAATGTGTGAATATAACTAAAGGAAACAGATAGAACTAATTCCGTACAATCTTATCTGAAGTCTCATCCTTTGTGGGTACAATTTGCTTTCATCTTGATGCAAGGTTTTTGTACTTCCCTTAAGAACTAAAAACTTTACAAAATAATTTTTAGATCTAAAAAGAGAAAATCTGTTGAGAAATGAGGCTCTGGCATAATATTCATAATATCCCATCTCCCTCCTATCAAATTCTCAGTATAGAACGATTTTCTACGGATTCTTTAATAGTCTAAAAAAAACTGTTAATAGAATTTGATAAACCTGGCTACAGTATGATTTCTAGTAAATGTAACAAATTAAAAGTGTGATGTGCAAAAGATACCAGTCTTGTGATTCTAAAAATGTTTATAGTAATAACTCGAAAATATAAATTTTTATGATTTATGCATGCTCAACGCAAGGTTATAATGCAAGGAAAGTTAATTGCAGTTGCGTATACTCTGCGTACATATTGAAACCAGATCTCTCTGGGCGGAATTTGTAAAGAAGAATAGATGCATTAGTGTTCGTTTAGAATCCTATATTGAGGTTAAAAGCATTAAATTTTGATAATTTTGATAAGGGACATAGTAGTTTCCTATGACCAGAATATTTCATTGATTTTTTATGTGAAAAATGGATCCCATGTCAGGCTGAAATAACTTTCCTTGCATTATAACCTTGGTTCAACGTATCCTCCATTGCAAGAATCACATTCTGCTCTTCATTGGATGAACAAAGCCGCTTTAGTAAAGTCTTTCAATAAGGCTAAAAATTGTTTCTTGCCAAAGTTGATTTTTGGTCGAATTTCTTCTAAACTTTTTTTTACTTTCTTCACATCTTCAGCACTCCATTTTCAGAATTATTGATTTACTTTGCTAAGAGTGAATAATTTTGCTGTTTTTCTTGGGATTTGATCTGGCTAATCTCCAAATCCCCTCTAGGATCAAAAATGTCCAATCTAATTCGATTGTCTCGGATTTCATGTAATTTCTAAACTTGTGTTAAAGATCATACTGTAGATAGCCGATAGACCATACTCGTACTGACACGGCATGCTATAGATAGATATATATATTAACATATCGTTTCTGGCTCTAAATTGCGATTTTCGGTACTACTTAGAAAATCTAAAAAGAACAAATCATTTTTAAAAATCGTTTAAGCCTAATATATGAAATACTAGGTTTTTCGAGTATTATTTGCATATTTCAGTGGTATATCTTGGAGATAATCCAATATGATATGGGACGCTCTGTATATATATAAATATAATATCTATGATTGAGTCCTATACCTATACCTAGAAATGGAGAACATATTTGGATCTGTGAGCTGATTACCCCTTCTCAAGGACTTACTCCTGAAAATATAGCTTTAAGGGACTGTACAATTTCAGGAGTTGCATGAGATTCACAAAGGTACCTCATAATCTTTTTCCTATAAAGTAATAGGAATACATATTGCTATTTCTAACAGAAAATTGCTACTTTTCGATTGTAATTTCACTAAAAAAGTGACTGATTAATGCTGTAGATGTGATGGAAACAATCCAACACGTTTTAAGACGTAAGAAAAAAACTTTTCAGCGAATTCATGTAATGTTGATCTTTTTAATAAAAGTATATATCATACAATATACATACCTCAGCATCGATTTGAAGGAAGTCTGACTGTTGAGGTTTTGGGTTTTCTAAAAAAAGAATTTTCCATTTTTTAAATTTTTTATTCCAAAGTGTACACTGAGCAATGAGCAGAGACACACCAATTGTGCAATGTAATCAGACCCATTTTAATAAATTTAATTTGCTTTGTAACAAATACACGTTAGTTGACATATTATCGTCTTCCTATTCTATTGTTTTCTGGTTATCACTGTATGTAAAATCAAAAGCAAGGTGTTTGACACTTCAGAGATGACCTGGTCTTAAAAATTGATACAAATTTTTTAAAGCTCTCTGAATGATTGTGATCGTTAGATATATAGTTTTCTCCGAATTCACTGTATCTATTCTAAATATATATACTTTGCTTGTCTGTCTGTTTGTATCCAATAAACGTCAATCGACTGGATCTATCGGCCAAAATTTGTTTGACAACTCACATGACCCTAGGGAAGGTTTCTAGACGCCTGCTAAAGATAAATATTTTTGCCCATGTCGCATTCATTATTTTTGAAAATACCCAAAAATCCTCGAAATACGATTTACAAAAAAAGATGGCGCCATTAACAGCCAAAATTGTTTCTACACTTACACTATAGAACTAATCAAACCTACATTTCCCCCCCCCCCTGAGATGAATAAAATTACCTCCAGATGAACTGTTCCTCTCACCATAAATCCTCGTTTAGTCTCACTCTCACTGAGGTTTTTGTAAATCCTGGAAATAAATTTTTTGTTGAGTTGGCAACGGAGAATCTAAAAATATTTTTTCAACTGTCAAAACATTAATTTTCACACTGAGATATATAGATATATAGATATATAGATATATAGCTATATAGATATATAGATATATAGATATATAGATATATAGCGCAATAAATCTAAAAGTTTCTTGAAATTATTTTTGAATCTGGTAGAGGAATAAAGTTTTTACCACAAACTCATAATTTCTAATTCCAATTATCTTTGCAACCTGATGGTGTAAATCTATAATATTTTAAACTTAGATTAAATCATTTAACACAATTTATTTTGTGAAATATCTAAGGTATACGATCGTGACGTTGAGTTGCAAAGATATAGAGATCAGAACGTTCAGAGTTTGTGGCAAAGACTCAATATATTTCCAAGAAAATGTTTAAGTAAAGGTATCAGAAATTTTTGTGATTACTTAAGATTTAGAACACGAAATTAAAATATACTAAAAACCATTAAACGAAATCCGTAAAAATGTATCGAAATAGTTAGTACATGGACCAAGGAAAGATGTCGCATGGAATCTCGAATTCTTTAAATTTTTTGTTTTCTGAAAAAAAAATTTGTGTAAAGATTTTTTTAAAGGTTCTATAGTGAGAATTGGAACACTTCACCCGAATTATTCAAATAATAAGATACTTTTTAGCAGGATATCATGAAGTACAATATTTTAACTGCGTCGTGAGATCAAAATTAAGAATTAAGAATTTCTCGAAGAAGGTTTCTCTGACGTGTTTCATCTCCTAAATATTTTGTAGATTTAAAGTTAAATTTGGTTCGATTATCAATGGACAAAAAAAATAAAATGACAGGTTTTAGCTGAACACCTCTTAACGCTGAAGCATGAAGCAATGTGTCCCATCTGATATTAAAATATACAAGAGCAATGTGCCCCATCTGATATTAATGTATTCTAGAGCTATGTGTCCCATCTGATATTGAAGTATACTAGAGCAATGTGCCCCATCTGATATTAAAGTATACAAGAGCAATGTGCCCCATCGGATACTAATGTATTCTAGAGCTATGTGCCCCATCTGATATTGAAGTATACTAGAGCAATGTGCCCCATCTGATATTGAAGTATTCTAGAGCTATGTGTCCCATCTGATATTGAAGTATACTAGAGCTATGTGTCCCACCTGATATTGAAGTATAGAGCTATGTGTCCCACCTGATATTAAAGTATACAAGAGCAATGTGCCCCATCTGATATTAAAGTATACAAGAGCAATGTGTCCCATCTGATATTGAAGTATACTAGAGCAATGTGCCCCATCTGATATTAAAGTATACAAGAGCAATGTGTCCCATCTGATATTGAAGTATACTAGAGCAATGTGCCCCATCTGATATTAAAGTATACAAGAGCAATGTGTCCCATCTGATATTGAAGTATACTAGAGCAATGTGCCCCATCTGATATTAAAGTATACAAGAGCAATGTGTCCCATCTGATATTGAAGTATACTAGAGCAATGTGCCCCATCTGATATTAAAGTATACAAGAGCAATGTGTCCCATCTGATATTGAAGTATACTAGAGCAATGTGCCCCATCTGATATTAAAGTATACAAGAGCAATGTGTCCCATCTGATATTGAAGTATACTAGAGCAATGTGCCCCATCTGATATTAAAGTATACAAGAGCAATGTGTCCCATCTGATATTGAAGTATACTAGAGCAATGTGCCCCATCTGATATTAAAGTATACAAGAGCAATGTGTCCCATCTGATATTGAAGTATACTAGAGCAATGTGCCCCATCTGATATTAAAGTATACAAGAGCAATGTGTCCCATCTGATATTGAAGTATACTAGAGCAATGTGCCCCATCTGATATTAAAGTATACAAGAGCAATGTGTCCCATCTGATATTGAAGTATACTAGAGCAATGTGCCCCATCTGATATTAAAGTATACAAGAGCAATGTGTCCCATCTGATATTGAAGTATACTAGAGCAATGTGCCCCATCTGATATTAAAGTATACAAGAGCAATGTGTCCCATCTGATATTGAAGTATACTAGAGCAATGTGCCCCATCTNGGATTCTCAATCTCATGAAAGGGATTCTTAATCTCATGAAAGGGATTCTCAATCTCATGAAAGAGATTCTCAATCTCATGAAAGGGATTCTCAATCTCATGAAAGGGATTCTCAATCTCATGAAAGGGATTCTCAATCTCATGAAAGGGATTCTCAATCTTATGAAAGGGATTCTCAATCTCATGAAAGGGACTACAGACGTAATTTCAAGTGAACCCCCACTTGCACAATCAACAACGGCATCTTTTAAGAGTAAAAAGATATTCTAGATTTTTTATCTGAAAAATTACGAACTTCAATTTTGGTTTTCAGAATCAAGAATGAAATTTAATTTAAAGTAACAAAACAACTATTAAAGGGTACTAACACCGTTGTGGTTTGGGAATGTTACTCTTTAACTTACTCTTGAGTTTACGTGGTAAGTCTCTTTAAGAAAATCAGGTTTATAAATTCTTGAGAAGAATTTTATTATGCGCTAAACAACTGCAATGCGATGCTTGATAAAGATTTATGCTATGCTAATACTTCAATGTATGCAGCAAGTTTTAATTTGTCTAGGTTTCAACTCTTTCAATCCAACTAGAGAGTATGCAAACCTAGTGGAGTTCTGTTTTTCAAAGAAAAAATAGTTTTAAACAATTTAAGTTCATTTGATAAAAATTATTTATAAAAATCCTTTATTATCAAAAATATTTTAAGTCAAATATCAAAAAAAAATATATAATATTAGCACAAATTCTGATAAGGTTTATTTTATGTCTTCATGTTTAATATTGAATATTATTTGTCAAATATCAAAAATATAATATATAATTTTAGCACAAATTCTGATAAGGTTTATTTTATGACTTCATGTTTAATATTGAATATTTATAAATAGTTCTGTATTTTACTTCACATTTTTACTAAACAAAGCTCTGTCAGAAGGAGAAATTTATGCGATATTACTGGTAGAACTTTGGAACCTCTTGGCTCCTTGTTTTTTGATTTTGTGCATATGTATTTTAGATTACAAAGAAATTTTTTTCTCTCCACAAATTGAAATTTCTGATCGCTGTCTTTACTTTCTGATGGTGTAAACCTTTTGATCTAACAGAATTCACAGTTTGAAATATCTAAGGTTTGTGATATTGGGTTGTAAAGATGTAGGAATAAGAAAATCATAATAAGAGTTTGTGGCAAAGACTCATTTTCTTTATCTAGTTATATATATACAGGGTGAGTCAAAAATTTTAGATATGCTCAATCTACAGTGTTTAATATTTTATACATAAACTAGGCTTCTATTTCAAATTTTAGATATGCTCAGATATGCTCAGAATTTTCTCTTAGATAATAAATGATTTATTGAAGAATATCATAGTTTTTTGGAGACAGATTTTAAAACTCTGAACATTCCTAAACCTCCCCAGGGGTCATGTGAGGTCCCACAACAAATTTGGGTTGGGTCGATTCCGCCGGTTTGACGTTTATTGGATACGAACAAACAAAGTATATTTTGATTTATATTTAAATATATATAATATATGAAGAAATATCAACAAAAAAACGTCTCAAAATCGGATCAAATAACAACGTGTGGAAAATCAGTTGTCAACAGTGTGGGACGCTAAAGTCCATAATAATAACATAAACAAGGCGTTCATTGTGTATTTCTAAATACCATTCAGCCTTACCTCAAAGCATAGGTCCCATTGATATCTGAAACCTGAAAAAAATTGTCTTGAAGTAAATAAAGAAAAGTTTCTTTTTATCCTTTACAAGACACTTTTCACATTTATCATAATTTTTT